AAAACGTTTAACCTAAAGATGATATTACGTCAGCTGAAAGACAACTATCAAATTCGATTTACAGTAGCAGACTTTCTAACTTCTCTAAACGTAACAAACAGATACAATTTATACAATATGTAAAAAAAGAGAGACATAATTTCAGTATATTCACCTAAGTTATAACTATAATGATGAGAACGAATGTAGTGAAGGCAATATTCACATTATCAATTAAGTCAAGTAATTTCCTGGCTCCCGGAACCCGTTCTCAAAATTTCTAGGATAAAATATGCCACGCGTACAAGGTTCGAAAACGCCACTGAGCGAGTTCCAGTCTCGTTTTTCGCGTTTTCAAATGATCTAGTGGAAAGAGAAAACAATCATTCTGGTACGGAGAGTAATCCAGTAATTTTTACACAGCCTTAAGAAGAAAGGCCTTAGAAGTTTCAACATTTATTCTAGCAAAGATGATAACCTTGTTTTTATGACAACTATTCCACTTTCTACTCATAACCTGCGCAGCGGGTAAATTTATGGGGGAGATTCAATGGAGGGAACAGAAGCGAGCGGCTGCTCGTTCGCGCGCTCACGAAGTACGCCTACGCCGCTCATTTACGTGTTCGCCACACAAAACCGCCAACTGCACAGGCTAGTTTCAGACTGAAGAAAGCAAGAACTTTTTCCTTTAATTTCTTAATTAAATAGTTCAGTTCTATATAAACATGGTTATTAAAAATATCGGGTAATGCTATTCCACATGTATGTCTTCAGGCACAACGGCTTGTTGACTAAAAAAGGCACTAGAGCTAAAAGTACTAACTACTTTGCTGATCATACGAACAGGGCCGGGCATGACTTGTGTTTTCCACTTCATGATCTATCTTTAGAATCTTCTGCATCTGGTAAGGATCTCCTTCCTTCAGTTATGGATCTCTTAGGAGAGTAGTTCAAACCCTCCGGGAGAGCTCTAAAGACAAACAGAAGATACAAGACAAAACGCTAGTCAAACTAAAAATAGTGATCTATGAGTACCCTTCCAAGTTTTCGTGTAAATTACGCTAGAACTTTGATCCACTATATGACCTTCACCTTAAAACAACAAGCAGAAGTCTTAAAAAAATTCGTCCACCAATCTTTTAACAAACCGTTTTAGATAGGGTTTCAGCGATTTATCTCAGAGAACTCTGTCAAAGTTGACTTCGGTCCAACGTTTCCAGCATGTTTAAGTTCGCTTTTTTCACTGTCCGTTCCTAGCCAAGTATGGTATCCACCGCGGTCAAAGGTCCAAGGCGCTTTTCTTTTTCATGTGATTTTGTTTAACACTAGGTGAAAACAAGCGCATCCAAGAGTGTCTAAAAGAATGAGTTGATTTAACTATCCTTGCATTTTTCTTAATACAACGAGCTTCTTTTCGTTGAAAACGCTTCTTGCCGGAAGAAAATTGTGACGTGTTGTCCAACAGAAAAGCCAAATCAGTTTTCACACACTTTGATCGTTTCGAGGAAACCCTCAAAAAATTTAGTAAATTAGCAGCGAATTAAAATTTACAACCTTAGTTTTTCAGTTCTTTTCTAAGCTTTTGTAAATTTGTCACGTTTGATCGCAGGTAAGTATGTAAACTTTTAGCAAGATCCTGTCACTCTTAGGGGCCTCTATTTGATACGAAGACACCCCTTTATCTGGTTCGCTAACGTCTAGTCTCTAATGACAGCAGACGCTGCCTTCAGCCGCGCCCCGCACGAAGATATAGAGTCCTTTTCACTGAACGTCTACAGTGAAACGAGGGCAAAGGCAAGAAATAATTCATAACAAAATGTTAATGCAACCGGGAAATGTAACCGGAACCAATTGCAAGCGTCAAAGCCTAAGGGCTCACTCAGTGCAATTAGGCGTAATTTAATAGAGGTTAACGCGCCTAGTACAGTAAAACTGAAGTAAAAGAGATCAAAACATCCGTCAAAGACAATGTCAGTGACTGACTTTTAAAAAAAATACATGCATCAACATTTGGCAAAACATAACCAATGGTAGGAAAAACGTTAAGTCCAAATACACAAGAATGATCTACCAGAAGGAAATGGAGAGGAAAGGAAATAAGACAAGATCACTATATACTTTACCCATGAGCTAAATAGCTGGTCGATACTAACTCTGATCATCAATTAGCCTGTTCTTAAAATGTAGTACTGACGGTATTAAAGCTAAGGGTGAAATTCACTTTGGAATAATATTGGCGGTCCCAGGGGCAAATCCTGAACCTCTGCGGCATCTGTCACATAATTCGTCTCTAAGTGTCAATTCGGCAAAAAGCTGAGATACTCTTTGCAATCATAGGCAACTCAAGTTGGTTACATAAGGGCCACGCGTTTAATCGTTTATTACAGCTCATACCGACAAAAAGGCTATCAGAATACTACTGACTACTGCCTTTGTATTTAGCTCCAGGCGATATTTACCTTTGGCTTGGCATCTGATCATTCACAGTAGCTTGGTTGCCTATCACACAAGTGTGCGGGCTTGTAACTTGGTTAAATGTCTGATGTAAGTGATACTCTGAAACAAGATTCATAAAATATTTAAAATATATCCCACCACCTTCTAGAAAACATTAATTTCGTAACCGGTAAAACTCTTCGTGATACCCCACGCAACTGAAACTTTCTATGGTGAAACACATATCTTTTTTCATTCGTCTGACGGAAATAATTATCCTCACGTTGTAAGAAACTAGTATAAATTTTTATTATATACATACTGAGAAATACTCACCAAAAAGCTATGTCGTAAATTTTCGTACGCAAATTAGTTCTAGCCAATCAGAGGAGCGAACGATGGTTTTCACACGTGAAAAAAAATGATACGTCCAATCAGAATCGCGAACGATGTTTTTTCACGTGTGAGAAAAATGATACGTCCAATCAGAAGCCACAG